TAGAGGAGCTCTCCTGCGCAGCCCTCAGCATCCAGATCGAAGCCATCTTGAGGGAACATCGGTTTTTTGTAGATCCCAGTGGACATTCGAGTTCGTCGTATTAGAGTGTACACAATTCTCGACTTGTTGCCCAGTACGTGTCTTGCGGTCTGAGAGACTGGACAACACTCGTGGACGAATCGGAGCTGAGCTACGCCGCAAGAGAGCTCCATTTAGGGCGAGCCTTCGTCCTGCATTTGCACCCTATTTCCCAATCATATCGTACTTGTTTTCGATCGCATTCAGCTCTCAATATCTTCTCTGCAACAGTGTTCTACACTTCAACTCATCGGTAAACCATTCACCTTCTTTTCGTCCACGATGGCTGGCATATTCAGAGTCTTCAAAAGCAAATGGATCACACCCCCAAAAGAGGTCCATGAAGATTATACTGGCAGGAACATCATTGTGACTGGTGCGACTTCGGGTATCGGCGTAGAGGCAGTCTTCAAGTTTGCGAAATTGGGTGCCGCCAAAGTCATCATCGCCGCGCGCGATGTGAAGAAAGGCGAATCCACGAGATCGGCTCTGGAGGCTCGGCTCAGATGCAATGATCAGCTGGAGGTTTGGGAACTCGATATGATGTCGTATGACAGCGTGGAAGCTTTCGCCAACCGCGCAAACGCGCTTGACCATCTCGACATAGCTGTGTTGAACGCTGGTGCTTGGCGAGTCAAGTTCATACAGTCAAAATATGGATGGGAAGAGGACATACAGGTCAACACGCTGTCTACAACACTTTTGGCCGTTTTGCTTCTACCAAAACTGAAGGAGTCTCAACAGCACACTGGCAAAATCCCAGTTCTTGAGTTTGTCAACTCTGGCCTACATCAGCGCGCCGTTGTTCCGCTAGAGGTCCGGCACAAGCCCAGCGTACTCGAGCACTACAACAAAGAAGAAAACCACAAGGAGGGCAGCCAGTACAAGTTCTCCAAGGTCTTCCTTATGCACGCTACGAACAAGCTTGCAGAAGAGATATCTTCAGGCGATGTCATCATCACCAGCATCTGCCCCGGTTGGGTCAACACCGACTTGGGACGCGATCGCTTCTTTCCCGGCGTGCACATATTGGCGTTCTTCTTCATCTTCTTGTTCATGAGATCTGCGGCTTCTGCTGCGAACATGGTGTTGAGTGGGACCACCCAGGGGGAGAGTGTACATGGCAGGTTTTGGAAAGAGGACAGCATTCAGCCAACTTCACCGAGCCTGGCAGGACCTGAGATGAAGGAGCTAAGTGCAAGGATGTGGGACGAGATTATCGATGCACTAGAGAAGGATGTCCCACATATCAGCAAGGCGGTTGATGCGGCATTCTCGAAGCGCTGAAGGTTGGCGAATTCAGAACCTAGGATTAGAGAGGACACGACTACCAAGAAATTGTTGCGCAGCTGTATGGTGAATTGCCAAAGACGATGCCGTGTTGCCAGACCCAGCTGACATGTGGCTGAGACTAGAGGCGCAGGCACCTCCACACATGACGTACCGGCAGCCGAATTGGAGCATCATAGTGCCTAGAACATGCATCGGGTGCCTCGAAGCCTGCGCATTCCCTCGTCCAGCAAAGTCAGACAGCTGCAGCCCGCTGAGTCGGCTGAATGCCCAAATCGCCCTTCCGCCGCAAGCCCGCCGCCCACGGTCCCTCGTCGCTCCTGCGCTTCCTCTTCCCCCGGACTCGAGCACGCGCGCGCCTTCACCTCTCCAAGTTCCGCCACGACACGCTCCACTCGTTCAAGAACAGCGCCAAGGCCCGCATCTACAAATACATCGTCTACCGTCAGGCTGCCAAGGCGCAGGGGAAGCAGGGCATTGTCCAGCGCCTGCGAGGCTACACGCGGAGGTTGAGCGGCCGCAGCTATCTCGAAGATGCTGCGAGGCTGCGACGACAGCAGATAGCCACGCGTCCGGGAACTACACCTTCCGGCAACAGAGCAATGACGTACCAAGAGAGCTACGAGGCGCGAGAGCCTGGGACGCGGAGACGGAAGCTGGCGGGCTATCTCAAGGCCGCGAACGAACTCCGGCAGACATACACCCAGCAGTATGCCCCCAACTGGAGTAGCAAGGAGGCACAATATGACTACGAGGACGATACACCAGGCGGGTTCCCAGATGCCGCCGTCGTTAGGAGCGGGCGGGAGGAGATGATACTCTTTCCCAGCTATGCCCGGCGACACATTAAGCGGAAGCCAGAAGCACAGCCAGGCACCATCCAGGAGACGGAAGGCCAAGGGCGCGACGTTCGAGACTCAACTGGTGCCGGCGATGCCGAGTTCTGGAAGCAGCAGTGGAACAACTACGAGGATGACAACGCAGTCGTCGACGTCGATGTGCGCGGCTGGATATACTCGCCACACAGGGGGCAGATGTCACGGAAGCAGAGGCTATTCATCGGCCTCGCACGGCAGTTAGTCGGCGTACAGGCACCTGCTACACCCAACTCATCTGCGGAGAGTAGTCGGGATACGAGTCCGCAACGGCACGGCTTCCGCGAACGAGCCCACCTGCGCGACGCCCAGCAGGACGAAGCCATGGCGGCCAGAGAGGCCGAGGAAATTCTACGGAGGGGCGAGAGAGAGGCAAGAGCTGCAGCACGCGGTGCTTACAGCGAGAGGCCAGCCAAGGACATGGACGACACGCAGCTATACCGAACAGAGAGTGGGAACAGCACGCGGCCGAACAACGGCAGGACCCACCAGCTCGCTCACAGCACTTCTAAGGATTCCATGAGAAGCGAAGCCAGTATCCAACCGTTGCAGAAGAGAGGGTCATGGAACCAGCCGTCGGAGATGAGCCCATCAGAACTCGCTGAAGCCAACGCTCGGTTGATGGCTCGACTGCGACACTTCCTAGCGATACCCATGGCCAATACGCCCATCAGCGTCTTCTTCTACAATGAGAACATATCGAAACAGAGGACCGTATACACCGACGCCGCAGGCCATTTCAGTATGAGCGCGTCTTTGGACTTCGTACCCACCCACGTTCGCATCTTAGCATCAGACAAGCTATCGGCAACCGAGGAAGTGATTGTCACTGCCTCACAGGGTATCAGCATAATCAGCGACATTGACGACACAATAAAGCACTCCGCTATTGGCAGCGGCGCTCGCGAAATCTTTCGCAACGTCTTCATCCGCGACCTAGTCGATCTCACCATCGATGGTGTCAGAGAGTGGTACAACAGGATGGCGGAACTAGGAGTCAAGTTCCACTATGTCTCCAACTCGCCCTGGCAGCTATATCCTGTCATCTCCAAATACTTCGAGTTGGCTGGACTGCCACCAGGCTCATTCCACCTGAAGCAATACAGCGGCATGCTCCAAGGCATATTCGAGCCCGTCGCCGAGAGAAAGAAGGTCACTCTGGATAAGATCGCAAGAGATTTCCCGGAACGGAACTTCATCCTGATCGGAGATAGTGGCGAGGCTGATCTGGAGGTTTACACCGATTTTGTGCTTGAGAATCCTGGGCGAGTCGTCGCTGTCTTCATCCGCGACGTCACTACGACAGACAGCCCGGGCTTCTTCGATCCTTCCACTGGGTCCTCACCGGGCGACCGCTCTTCATCGTCGCCATCGACGCAACGTGACAGCGGTGGCAGCTCGGCAGCTTCGACTAAGGCTCGACCGCCGTCTGAAGAGCACGACCCTGAACTGAAAGCTGCCATTGCAGCCTCATTACGTGACATGGATGCGGAGAACAACAAGCGACCAAATTTGCCTGATGAGAAGTCCTCCCCGCACACCACATCGCAACAAGCCCCCTCGAACAATCTGATAGACCTATCCTCCGACGATGATGTAGATGATTCACCCGCGCTGAGGAAGTTCAATAGCGAAACTCAAGCCGACAACGAAAGACATCGCTCATCAGTCGCCTCGAATGCGAGCATGAAGTCTGCGCCGCCGCCTCCTAAAAAGCCAGTTGCTTTAAGGAGCCCATCGACGGAATCATTCAATGCGCAATCCACTTCCAACCCGCGACCGCAACCACCTAAGCCCCGAAAAACCTCAGCGGCCGTCACTCAATCCAGTCCGCTCGCACAGCAAGTCAGTGTCTCAAGAAGCGCAAACACATCAGCACTCTCCAAACCACCAGTAGGACCTAAGCCATCTATGAGCTATCAGAGCCAGGCATCAGAAGATCAGCAGTCATACGCTGGGATGGCTCGCGACAAGCTATGGTCTGTCTACAGCAATCTACCCGCACTGCGTTCAACAGAGGAGCCCGGCTCCAATGCGTCCAGTCTGGATGTAACTGGTGTTCGCAAAGGCCCACCTCCACCTCCGCCTCGACGCGGAAACCGCGACACAGCCGCAAGCGCAGCATCGTACGTAAGCTCCAAAGCATCTTCAGCGTGGCAGAATGCCCCCTCCATACCCTACCACAGTCGCCCTCAGGCCATATCTGCGCAAACGTCTCAGCTATTCTCTACTGCGGCGCCACGGCAGGGCATCAACCGCACCAGCACCGGTAGTACCCTAGGTGGTGCTACAGGCGAGCAGTACGGCACAAAGAAGGAGCAGTTGTGGCGGCAGAGATGGGCACATGCAGAGCAGGTTCTCTCTGAGCAGGGCGTAGTACTGCGAGGATGGAGGGTAGGCAGCGACATCATGGGCGAGGCGGAAAGAATAGTCAAAGAGGCTGATGAGAAGTTTAAGCGCGACGAGCAGCGAGGCGAGGCGGGAAACGGGAGTACCGGCAAAGCGAGCGAACAGAAATGAACGCAGCGTCGCCTGTGGATAATTGGTCGTCGCGTTATTAGCGGGTTGCCTGTTGTCAGTACACACATGAACATAACGAGCCGTATTACTATCCTGTCATCTCTCCCAATGCATCTCTCCATCCGCTGCGGACATGCCCCACCAAAAGAGGCCTCTCGAGATACCTCGAGTTGGAACCAAGGTGTGTTTTGACTGGTAGCGAGAGCAGCTGTCCACGCCATAAAAGTAAGTCCCGTGATGTCACGGCCGCCTGTTTCTGGGTCGTCGAAATCTCGCGCGGACGCTCCACCTACACACATTCCACAAACGCATCTCCCCCGTATCAAGCGTTACGCCACACGAGATTTAAACTTCCCCAAGTCCATTTCCCTTGCCAAGCAAATCAATAGTGTGCAACATCGCCCCTGGAAACCGGAAGCGTCGAACCCTCGCGCCTGGAGCCACGACTAAAAGAGGGGTGTGGTACCACGGCATCTGCGCACGTGCATGATTGTTGTTGTGAGATGGCTGGACTGCCCATGTTCAGGAGTCGTGATGTCATGGCCCTTGCTAACTGCGTATCAAAACAAAAAGACGCTAGATCCTGCCGCTTGTGCCAGCCTGCCAGGTACATAGTTGGCGACACGCGACTGCGACGCGCTTTTGGATTGTTACCCTGCCTGCCCTCTTTTTACATCGGCTGTTTTACTACTACTACTACTACTACTACGCACGTTCGCCTGACATCGTAATTCTCGGTGATAGATATTGAAAATGTATGTAGATTTGGTGTTGTTCTCATGTTGCGATTGCGATTGCGACCACGGTCGCGATGGTGATGATGCGCCGCGTTGTTGTTCGCGCCCAGTACGCGCATTATCACACGCTGGCGCTGTCGCTGTCGGCTTGAAGTTAGGGTATCTTTGAATGAAATGCTGACTATGATGTTGTTCTGCGTAGGCCATCCAGCAAAGGAAAGCCAACGGATCCTAAATTGAGGGAGAAGGTCAAGGAGGACGTGAAGAACGAGACCAACAAGGACGGTGGTGGCAAGGGACAATGGAGTGCTTGGAAGGTGAGTTTGCGTGGCTTCCTTTCTCAATGTCCTCAACGAATGCGATAGTGCGCATTGCTTCGTGCATAGACTGACGCGATATGTAGGCTAGCAAGCTCTCGAAAGAGTACGAAAAGAAGGGCGGCGGCTACGAGAACGAGGCTGGCAGCAAGAACGAACCGAAGAAGGGAGCCCCACAACAAAAGTCCAAGGGCAAGAAGAAGGCCGAAGAGAAAGAAGAGAAGGAGGAAGAACCAGAGAAAGCGGAAGACGAAGAGCCTGCGGAAGAAGACGACAAGGAGAACGAGAAGAAGCAGGATACCGAAGAAGAGAAGGAAAACAACGAGGCTGAGGAAGAGGATAAAGAAGAGGAGGCCCCTCCAAGCGCACAGAAGCCCAAGGCCAACACTGGTGCGAAGAAGACTGGCGCCAAAGCTGGTGCTAAGGGTGCGGCAAAGTCTGCTGAGCCAAAGAAGGCAGCCGCTCCTAAGGCGAAAGCCAAGGAGAGGACAGAGGGAACCAGGAAGTCATCGAGGGTTGCCGGCGCTGGCAAGCGGAAGACGTATGACGAGGATGAGAATGACGGTGAGGAGGAAGAGAAGCCAACCAAGGGTAAGGCGAAGAAGAGCAAGTCCTGATGATGCGACGCTCTACGTGCATGCTTCTTTGGGTTACTGGTGCGTATCGTGACCGATTGTGTAGTCACAGGATCAATCGAGTGTATCCGCAACCAATATGGAAGGGTCGATGGGTATAATGACAGTTTAATTATTTCCGACATGTTTACTCAACGCCTTCTCCATGCGATCTCGCGTCTACTCCTTCTAAGCTTACTCGCGCCTGCCTGACCGGAAACTGCAGGCCCGACGAGATAATCCGCACCGATGAGTCTAGTGTCGACCTCACCACACATTACGCCCCGGCCCCAGTGCCCAACGTGGCTGCAGATTGCCAAGATCTCACACCGATCATGTTGCTGACTGCGAGGTAGTCGGACTCTCCGAGCATGTCGCGATGTTGACGGAGTCAACTTTACCGCCGGGCAAGCGCACCCCGATCCTGCAGTACAAACTTGGAGTCAGCGCTTCTTCTGCACGCACTTTCGGTCTGTTGGTCTTACCAAAGCTCGAAGCCAGCAGTATGCATAGTGCCTGGTTGCGCCGTCGTCATGGGCGTGTAACGAACATAGTCTCGTTCCTGGAACCCGGCTTTCGAAACCACCGTGGCACCACAAGGCGTAGCGGATACTCCCTGGACAACATTAGCCGAGATGCTTTCTCTGAGCCAGTCAGACCTACCAACAGCGCGTCGTCGAGATCTGCTAGCTGAGTGCAGTAGCTCACGAGTCTTCCTGCATGGCCTCGTCGCCAATAACAGGGTGCCACTGCTAAAGTACAGAGGCGCATTTTGCCCTCTAGATGCCTATTCTCCGCTGTCAGCAATCTGCGTCTAGATACGTCAGTTATGCATACTGCAGTTTTGCTGGACGCGTGACTGCGTTATAGATCTCCACGGCTTCAGTACTTTGATCTCTTTCGAGGTCAGGGACATCCGGTCGCTCAGCAACGCCAGGAAGCACGTCTTTGGGTTGGAAATGATGGAAATATGCTGATTCTGATTTGAGCTGAATGCTGCATACTCCTACGATACTTCTCCGCGTCGGAAGGACCGACTTGAAGGACTCTCGCAACGCTTCGTACACGTGTTCAGACTCGTCTTCTTGAATATCATCTTCTGCAACGAGCACCACGCATGCAGGATCTCTTAAGGCTTTCTCGTACTGAACAAAGTAGGAATATATAGTGTCAGATGGAAATGTCTGGTAATTGACACGCTGAAACTGAAAAGAAGGCGAAGAAAAGAACGCAGCAGCCGCAACAAGCGAGATTCGGTCCAGGTCATCTAAAGTAGCTAGGCGTACGCCTTCTACAGATGGAAAAAGCATGACTTCGCTCGGCTAATAGCACTGCAAATATGACCTTCGTTCTGGGGAAACATATCGAAGTTCAATATGCAGGTCATTTAAAGCAATACAATCTCGCAACAGAGTACGCCTGCATTCAGGAAAGACATGCTACCAACATCTCTTTGTCTACGATAAGCACGCACTGCCATTACGCATAGTTGTGCATAAAGCGAGTTGAGACATCATACCCGCATTTGTATGTTGCTTGGAATACAGCGCTGGCATTGGACGGGATAAGATCCCGTTGTCGAAAGGTAGGCCGCCTGCCTTATAAGCGAATTTCCTTCATGGAGGACATCGATACGACTTACAAGTGGCAAACTTAGTCGATACTACAGCGAAGAAGACGAAATCAATTGTAGCGACGATAGCGGTAAACAAAGAGACGGCGCAGATGCAGGAGTAAGATGAAGGTTGTGCGTCCGTCTGGTACGCGAGGCAGGTTCGCGGGGAGATGCAGCCCTAACGGAAGCTAAGACATGCATGGCACCGACACAATGAACCAGTGTGGTTCTCGACCTGCCTTTGGTGCCTCCTCGAGCCTTCCTACCATCGAACTCGAAAAGCAACGATCTACCGTACCGGCTTTGCTTTACGGCCCAGGCCGCCATCGTTCCCTGCTACACGGATCTTGCCCATTACTTCTAAGCGAATGAGCGACACGCACCCTCGCGACACGTCCTCTGAAGTTGTACGCAGTCAGCCGCAGCCCTCCATGTCTACCACCAGTTCGCAGTACAGGAATGCCGCCCAAACTCCCTCGCACTACCAGGACTTCCCCACAAGCAACCACGACCCTTTGTATGGCTTGGGCGCATGGCAACAGCATCATACTCCCAGCCACGACTCGTACGCTGCCGGCCCGTCAACGGCGCAATTCCTACAGTACCCGGCAGTCGGAGTAGACTCCGCTGGCACGCATCCGCAGTCTGCTCCAACGGCTTGGTCTGGTTACGTCAGACAGGCACCTCTGGAGTGGCAGCACGCTGGACCTGAGCAGAACTACACGACGCGCTCGACCGTCCCCTATTGTGATGCTGAGGGGAGCGCGTCCGTGCCGCACCAAATTCCCACAATCCCGCGCCACTATGAGCACCAACACCAGTACCAGCACCAGCCGGCGCTGGATCTGGGGCACGCATTACCCTTGGCTTCGCAGGATCACGTCTTTCGCAGTACAGAGCGCTTTAACGAGCTGCGCGTTTCGTCAGTAAGTGCACACAAGCAATGTTGTGCCCTGCACTAGGTTCGCGACTAAATCATCCAGGAGTCCCCCGCCAATACGGTAGACCCACCGTACTCGAATCATGCTCAGAAGCTACCTCCAGTCCCACGACTCTCGCATTCACAGCCGCAGACTGTTCTGTTGCACGCGAACCACGCGCCACAGGTACCGTTGCAGCATGATGTCGGGTGGGAAGCGCATCAGCAGTACTCTGGTCATGTTGGCGACGCTGTTACCACCCGAGCTCCAGATACGAGGCACCACAGCACATCTACTATCCCTTGGCCCATGAACCCCGTCGAAACTTCCAATGCGCCTACTGTTTACGAGCCTCCTCAGACCATGTCGCGGGAATGGGCCGTCGCTGAAGCACCACCTGATCATGAACTTTACGCACGGCAGCCGGTCCCAGTCGATCAGACAACCACCCATTTGTTGGCTCAGCATAGACCACCGCCAAAGAAGAAAGCAGCCAAGGTTCCTTCGTCTTTCGTTGAGCGCCAGGAGAAGCTGAAGGTGTCCAAGCGGAAGGGCCCTCTCCAGGAAAGGCAGAGGGAGAAGACCCACACCATGCGCAAGACCAAGCGTATATGCGTTCGTTGTAGATTCTACAAATCTGGGGTATGCATATCCAACATGACGCAGTGCAAGACTAACGAATGTAGTGTGACGAAGGAGATCCGTGTGAAAAGTGTGAGAAGATCACAGGCCACGCCCGGTCCTTTCGCGAGCCCTGTTACAGGGAGCATCTCGAAGACACTAGTCTTGTACGTCGTTGTAAGTCATTGCAATATCTGCTGCTTGTTTACTTCTCACAACAAGACAGGCAATGGCCGCGAGCACCAAGAGGAAGCCGAGTTCCTTGGTTACGACTGGATACACAACAGTCAACTCTACGAGATGGAGATCATCTGGAACCTCCCCGGCTACGGTCCTATACCGAACGCACAGCCTATGCGTATCGCCTTCCGGCCTTATAGCCCAACGCGCGGCACGATTGATGTCGCGACATCCGTCTGGTCCAACCGGGATGGACAAGTTCCGTCTGTCGAACAACCGGCCTACGCCATATACGATACTGCGAACCTCGTTCAGGCCTACGAACGTTACTTCTCCAGCCTTCAGCCGGCGATCGAGGAGTGGATATTCGCTCGCATTCGGCAGGACGAAGTCGCCTATCATACCTACCAGGAGGTGGTACGCATGCGAAGGGTAAACGGAAGCAAAGTCCTCGATCTCGCAATGCGACTCCAATGTCTTTCCGTCGTATCCCAAGGATACGGCTCCGTCTTCTCGGAGAACATACCTGGCATTCGCGAGTACGATTATCGCCGACTCGGCCGTAGCGACTACGAAGCCTACGACCGCAACTCATGCGACCGCCCACTCCCTGGCGCCATAACCCACCAAATGGATGTCGCGGCTGTGAAATACCTTCGCAAACTGGAAAAGCTTTTCGTCAAGGAACTAGTGGCGCTGATTTTCAGACCCAGGATCAAGCCTTGGTATGAGCTCTTTCTGGCATTCTATGTCATCTTCTGGAATCTCGAGTACATCCATCACGGTGCGCAAGACTACATCAAGTCAAAGAACGGCACAGTAAGTGGACGTCACTATCTCATTTTTCCTCTACAGATTCTGACCGCTCTAACTCTGCTAGTTGCTCGAGAACCAGGTCAGCAACGTGGTGACCACTCAGATCAAGAAGTGGGAATTCGCTTTTCCAGTGCTGCTGTACCATTGGCGCTGCATTCTTCGGGGCTACTCCCCGTTCAAATTAGCACGCGACAACCCGGACGAGCTCCGGGAGCGAGGTCATATTGATGCAGAAGGATTCGCATATGTCACAGCCATTGCCAATCTATTTGACCGAAATAAGCCCGGTAAGTTGGTACCGTAGATCCGCTACTGCAAGTCATTTGTTAACCAGCGTAGATCGCTTCCAGCCGCCGCTTACCGGGTTTGCCGCAACGCACTGGTCCACCTCTAGTCAATGGATCGTAAAGCTTTTCAAGGAAGCTGGAGCGTAACGTTCGCGTTCGCACCGTGTCATGTTGTTCCCCTCTGTTTTTTGATACCCAGTCATTTGAATGGCATTCGCGAGTCATTTTCTAGCCTGTTTCGCGGATCGCGGTTTTGTGGAGAGAAATGGGAGGCAAATGTGATGGATATTTGAGTACGTCTACCGTCAGTCTAGTCAACAGGGGAATACTAAATCAGGCCAATAACAAAAAAAGTATGAACACAGGAGAGCGCCGTCATTCTCAGTCATCATTGCGAAACGCATGCCAAATTTGCTCAAGTCATTTCTGCCACCATCTGCGCCTTTGGGAGAACTTTACTCCGTAAAGTCTAGTAGATACGGAAGTAGCTAGCCGTGGCTCTCGCGTCCGCTGATGTTGCGCCATGGGTCGGTGTCAAAAACAGGGAGACTCTGAGGTCTGCCG